TTTCATAGATTTTTAATCTGAACTTATGATTGAATCTTGCGTAAATCTACTATCAGCAATGAAATATTTATGTAGTCTATAATTAGCTGAGATGAATTGCAAAGCATTAACTTCATATTAAATACTCTGTATGAGATTAGACAAGATTTCAATATGTGAATAACTGAACACTGCATTCGAATCTGTGCGTAAATTGCCTTAACTTAAGATATGTATCTTTAGATCCAAAAATTTTATACTGCTGAATATGTGGAGCAGTATTTTTGGAACTAGTCAAGATTCTTAGAAAATTTGTTTTTAAAAAAGGCTTATCACGCATATTTCCACGATTGGATAGAATTGACAATGTAGGCATTCTATAAACATTAGTTATGCACATAAACGCCCGTCGGATTGGCCTGAGACCTGAACCCAATCGAATTCCGAGTCAAACAAAATTTGGGCGAGATGAAGCCTAATCGTATGAGAAATGTGTAGTTTACATTAGCATCGAAAGCAAAAAACGGGGAAATAGTATCGCATATCCTCGATGCGACTATCAAATCTCAATTAAAACTTTCTCCACGGTAGAAGACCCTTTTCAGAAAAATAATACAGCGGATACAAAAGAAGGTACCCTGAGTCAATTAATTTTTCGAGCAATTGAAAGTTCAATCAATGTATTTATCTTAAAATATGCCTAATTTTCAGTGTTTTGAACTGAAAATCTTGAAAGACTGAGGTCAATATTATTTCTGGACTTTGAAAAATCTGAAAATCTCTTCTCAAATCCTTAAAATTGTTTTTTAATTAAAAATTACGAGAAAAATTGGACTATGATAGAAGATTCCCCTGAAAACTTTGTATGCTTGGACGTAATAGAAGACCCGGAAACTTCTACAGTGGCATGGAGTTTAAAAAATTTCATTGAGAAGATCAAAGTTCGGTTCGATCGGGTTTGAGTCCGGAAATTTTCGATACGATGGGCTCTAGTCTTCAAGAATACTACACAAATAAACAGGCTTTATTTATCACAACGAACTAGTTAACTTTGAAAAATTTCAATTTCAAAATATCTCAATAGTGGCTTCTTGACAATTATATTATTTCCTTGGAAAAATCTGGATATTTCATGAGATTTTTGTATAAATTCTATATTGAAGTATATCATTGAATAGACCATAAGAGGTTCCATCAAACAAAGTACTTTCTATAGGCTTGAAAAAACATGTTCGATGCGATGTTTAGTGCCATAGTTGCACAAGTTTCAATATATCATAGCAAGAAACGAATCACCTTTATAGTAAAACTAGCTAATTTTACTATGAAATAAAAATTTCATTCAAGCCTCTATAAAGAACTTCGATTTAAACTGAAATTTTTCATTTGATATCTAACCTTGTATGGCCTTTTCACAACACAATTGATGAGTTTTACCATTTGAAATTCTACAACTTTATGCAAAACTCTGTAATTGCTTGTGGTTTACCGAGTGAATTAGATTAGATCTGTATATTCGACACACACACACACACATTTTACCTTATCTCATGAAATCATCGTTACACTAATTTTCTTATTTTTTTTTCAGCTTTGGATTACAGTCAAAAGTCCCTTAATATAATACTTTCCGACGATGATATGAAAAAAATCGATCTTCTATTAGCTACACGTTATAATAACATTGGATACATATATCATAAACTTGGCAATGCCGAACGAGCATTAAACTATATTCAAAAAGCATTAGATTACACAAAATCTCTTCCATCAAATATTCCGATAATATCAAGAATTTTTTGTAATCTAGCAATGATTTATGAACAATGTGCAGATTATTTCAAATCAGAAGAATATTGGAAAAAAGGTCTTGAATATCATCTTAAATCAATGCCAAATAATACAGATACAACTGCTTATCTCTTTCAAGCTGTTGCACTTAATTTAACGGATCATAAAAAATATGACAAATCAATTGAATATCTTAAAAGATCATTGACAATATGTAAAAATCAAGGACAACACGCATTATGTTGTTGTTATAAAAATTTAGCTATTGCCTATCATAGTCTACAAAATTTTCCGCAAACTACAGAATATTTACAAAAAGCAATCGATATTACACAAAATCTATCAAACGTTGATCTAAGTACTATGTATATCGATAGTGGTAATAACTACTATCAAGCTAAAAATTATGAACAAGCACTAGTTTCATATGGTAAAGCATTGAAATGTTCACAATCGTCATCCATACTTTCGATACATGTGAAGATTTTTATAATTTATACAATACAAAATGAATCGAATCGTGCATTGAAATATTATGAACTTAATATACAATCACATATGATAAAAATAAATTTAAATGATCATATTGTAATTTATTATTATATTGGAATGAACTATTATGATCTAAAAGATAATGATCAAGCATTAAAATATCTTAAAATGACACAAGAATTAATTTTATCGAATGAATCAAATCTATCATTGAATTCATTTTTAATAGATATATTGAAAAAAATTGCATCTATTTTTGTTAAACGGAATCAATGGTCTGAAGCAGCTGCTTTTTATACGAAATTATTAGAATATCAACCAACAGCAGAAACTTACATGAACATTGGTTTAATGGATATTAAGCGAGAAAATATTCAAAATGCGCTAGAAAATCTTAAGAAAGCATTTGAATTAGCAAAAGCTGCTAATGATTTATCAACACTGACTATTGTGACACGATACATTGATTCATTTAAATAAAAAAAGTAAACTAGAATGTAGCATAACAACTAACGTCAATAAACATCTTGTTGAATAATTGTTTCGAAAAAATATTCTTCTTCCACTAAGTTTTCAACCCATGTCGATCGATTTGATATTTTGTTTCAGTTGTTTTTGAAATTGAACAGAATAATAAGAATTTTTAAATAACTAAGATCTAGATGAAGTTAGCAGCCGATTCAAATAATTCCAGAAATGATATGACCGACATAGTATTTCAAGCAAGAGGGAAGCGGTGGATTCCCAGAGATTCCAAATCTCTGGGAATCCGCCGATTCCCCCTTTTGCAGCTCTCTAACCCGCACCCACACTCATGAATGTACTAAACACTTGAATTTCGTGACTAAGTTTGTCAAGCCTATGAGTAGGGCTTCAAATTCGAATCATTATATTTTAACGCTCCTTTCAGATCGTATCTCATAAAACGAGATCTCGTTCAGTATATCACCGCAGTCTTTATTTTCAATATTTATACATGCAGTTTCTTTAATAAAAATGATTAGCTGTTTGAGATATGTATATCAATATAAGATAAATTTATTTTAATTGTTTTCGAGAAGAAATATATGTTATTTCATGATTGATAGTATCCTACTCGAACTTAGTATGTCGTAAAGGTCTCTGTTCATCAAATGCTCCACTTAAGCAACGAACTTTGACAAATTCAACAGTACCGCAATTATCCCATTCAATTCATTCTCATTCACTTTCTTCTTTAATCATTGCTTTTCGAACGTGAGCACGAAATTCTTTTGTATCTTCCAATTTTTTGCATGAACTTGGACCAAGATGTTCAATGATTTTATTAAGAATAGGTTCTATTAGTAAACAACCTTGATTTGCTTCATCTAATATTGGTATAATTATATTGAGTGGAGCAAGTATACGAGACGAATAACAATGAAGATCAATTGGTTTACTAGGATCAATAATAACACAAGTTCAGAAATGTACGACGAAGACCAATTTTCTGTGTTAAGTTATGAATTTCACGAAATCGATGAGAGACTTCATTTGAAAAGACGATCGCCGCATTAGTACCGACTGATACTTCTTCATCAATAGGAATATCATAGCATGGATTTGGTGCACTTTTAGGACGAAATTTTAGTACTCCACATTTCAATTCATCATCAATAGAGGCATAATGAACAGCACAGCTGCAATAATATTTTCTGTGCTACCTTCAGTATGCCATCGGCCAGCATATTTCATACTTGGAATTAGAAAAATTTTTTTTCATTACATTAGACACAAGAAACAGTTTGCTACTGACCGGATTTTAAATTGTAACTTTGAGCTTGTACAAAAACTTGAAGATTATTTCCTGGTTGAACGGATTGTTCAATTATTTCAGTCTCTTGAAATGCTAGTAACATAGCTTCAAATACTTGTGCTATATCTGTAAAAAGTTGTTCGTTTTCAGGTGTTCTTTCTAACTGAGAAATAGTTGTTGTGATTGTGGCATGACCATTTTGATCAATGGCAAAGAGACAATAGACATCTATTGATATGTACTACGAAGTTTAACATAGTCAGTAATGGTTTTAATTTTTTGTAGTTGACAAATTAGTAGATCTGAATCGATAATATCTTCCACTGGTGATGATTGATTATGATGATCTTGTCTCTATTCATTTAATTTGTGTAAGGCTTTAACAAGTCTTCGGCGACATGTTTTTAAAATCAATGATTTGTTTATACAAACGGGATATTGGAGATAACTATCACCTTCATCCCTATACGCACAACTACGATCTGGTGCTAAACGATGAAAATTATGCGTGCGTGGTGTGATTTCTTTTTCTCAAAATATAATAATCTGTTTCTAAAAAAGATAACTATGTAAATTGTTGTTATCCTCGTCTTTTATGTATTGTCTGGTGATAGTTTTTGCAAGTTATTGCTCTTATGCAAACACATATTACAAGCAATTAAAGTACTTTAATAGCGAAATAATCAAATCCAAAAAAGCAGTGCTTTTCCACATGTTTACATAGAGTGAATAATTACATAAACGTGAAAAACAGTCGAAAAAATCGACGAAGTACTATACAAACACTACGTACCAATAAAAAACAATAAGCTTGGGATGTTTGATTAACCTTTTTTTAAATCTCTATGTGTCTTGTTTTTATTCATGTAAGAACTCTACCTTGTGTATGATGTGACTGATGTCATGAAGTAAGTTAAGAATATTCTTGCCTTACTCAGATGATTTGTTACAGTATCTATATATACCAACCGAAAACAGTTGCATATAGTTTGATTAAGGTGTCTTCAGGGTCATAAACGATCAGATTAGAATCATTTATATTCCGAGATTATTCATAATCCTGGTTTATGACTTACGATCGTAGTTAGGTCGTTTCTTATACACGATATTACTGTTAAAATAGGATTGACGGTGTCAATCTTCTCTTCTACAATAACATAGATGTGAGTGTGGAGGTGTCTATGGCTGTAGTTGAGGATGAGCGTGTGCGTTGATGAAGGATCAACTTCAAAACCAACAGCCACAACCCAGGTTGAAAAATTAATTATCCTACAAGTCATATGACATACTATGTTTTTGTCTAGCAAAGAAAATCAAATAATACTTCTTTAGACA